TTTTACTTGGGGTAATTTCCATTCCTTTCTCTTTTTTAAAGCGCTAACTATTACATTATATCGCTATACTTCGCGAAGTTTTCATTTCACATAATTTCCCGCCTTGTAGCAAAACCTTTACGGCTGTTGTCAGATATTTCACTTCCGTTCACTGAAAAATTCAATTCCGTTACGTCATAATATGCTAATTGCACAAAAACGTCACGGACATGCGCGACACGTTTCGAACCCCATGCGCCCAGCCGTCAGGGGAGAGAGTATCGCGGGCGCACGAAATCCCKACGGCTGGAGACTGAGCCTAGGTACTCCTCGGGTCCTGCGATTTCTTGCATGTCACTTGTTTACTGTTGCCCAGATTTTGGTCACCCTGTGTCATGGTCAGCGGCTTTTCATTATAATGGCCAGTTACCAAAGATAAAAGTTTTCAAGTCGAGTGGGGACTGGGCAAGATCCCTTTATTTGATAATCATGAGATAAGACCTGCATAAAAAGAAAGCCCTTGTTGAGAAATGCAAAATTCCAAAATTTGATGTAAATCAGTTCAATAGTGAACGAGTTACAGCCTTTCAAACATTCTAAAATTTCCAAAGAAATGTATGTGATCTCGCGAATGTGTCCGGAAAATGGTCAAAATGCGGACACATTCACGGCTTCCCATACATTTCTTTGGAAATTTTAGAATATTTGAAAGGCCGTCACTCGTTCACTATTGCACTGATTTGCATCAAATTTTGGAATTTTGCATTTCGCTTTCTTTCTATGCAAGTCTTATCTCATGATTATCCAATTAGGGGATTTTGCCCAGTCCCCACTCGACTTGAAACCCGGCAATGGATGGAAATATACACCTCAAAATCATTTGAAAATCCCTTACAGTTTTAATTTCTACTTACTTGTGAGTAATGAATGTTTCAGTTAAAAATATCTCACAGTTGYTATTTGATGAAGTGCGTCTTTGCAAACAGAAAAATGGCCACAGTAAGTCAAGTCCACTTAATTCGCTACAACCATCTAAGCTTAGTTATTGCTAACATATTGCTATTTTTCGTAGTTTCAGACGAGCTGCTGTCTGCGTAAGTATTTCACATGATGTCTAAGCTATAGATGCAATTATAAACACCTTATAAACTTCCTTAATTTACATGCTTTCACACTAGAAACGTTTAACAATTATTTTATATTTTATCGCAGATTGCATTTCATCTTTGGCCAGTCATTACTTCATTCACTTGACCTGATRGACAAGCATAACATTACAAAGCTTGTTTCTCCTAGCAGTCGTGCTATWTACCAGGTACACCATCTGTCATATTCTTAAGGGACCACAAAACCTGGTTGGTGGGTATGGCTATTACCAAATAAGCAGGACCAAAACACTGATTTCAAACCCCAACAAAACTCCCCCCTCTCCTCCCAAGCAAAAATTACTTGTTTTCTAGTACAAACCATGCATTTAGTCTAGGTTTCACGAGACTTGCCACAGGTTAGACTCTCTTTTTTTAAAAAAAATAGCTTTATGAAAGTCTAAGGTTTCACTTATGTATTTTCAGATGTCAAAGTCATTTGTATTTCAGGTTGTTGGAAGTTCAGGACAGACTTACACCTGTTTGTTAAATGGCAGTTTTTGCACTTGCCCTTCTTACACATACACAGGTAGGTTAGCACGGGAGAGCCTACGTAGCACTCAGTTGATGTAATATATTCATAAAGATGTAATACAAAACACATAATACAATAGAACGAGAAACAATGGAATACAATACATTTTATGAGTGTGCTACGTAGGTCCCCCCAGGTTAGCACAGTGGTAGANTATATTGCTATTTTTCGTAGTTTCAGACGAGCTGCTGTCTGCGTAAGTATTTCACATGATGTCTAAGCTATAGATGCAATTATAAACACCTTATAAACTTCCTTAATTTACATGCTTTCACACTAGAAACGTTTAACAATTATTTTATATTTTATCGCAGATTGCATTTCATCTTTGGCCAGTCATTACTTCATTCACTTGACCTGATGGACAAGCATAACATTACAAAGCTTGTTTCTCCTAGCAGTCGTGCTATATACCAGGTACACCATCTGTCATATTCTTAAGGGACCACAAAACCTGGTTGGTGGGTATGGCTATTACCAAATAAGCAGGACCAAAACACTGATTTCAAACCCCAACAAAACTCCCCCCTCTCCTCCCAAGCAAAAATTACTTGTTTTCTAGTACAAACCATGCATTTAGTCTAGGTTTCACGAGACTTGCCACAGGTTAGACTCTCTTTTTTTAAAAAAAATAGCTTTATGAAAGTCTAAGGTTTCACTTATGTATTTTCAGATGTCAAAGTCATTTGTATTTCAGGTTGTTGGAAGTTCAGGACAGACTTACACCTGTTTGTTAAATGGCAGTTTTTGCACTTGTCCTTCTTACACATACACAGGTTAGCACAGTGGTAGGGGGGGAGGCTCTGAGTGCACAGGCATCCCCCTGGCCTAGGTGCACCTCAAGTGGCAGATACAGGTTTTTTGAAACATCACATCATCCCCTGTTACACCCCACTGGGTAAAATGTGAAATATTGTATTTTATTATTAAACATAATTACCTTTGCTYCATCTTTCTAGTTCTTGTCAAAATGGATTCAGTTATGGTAAGTCTAGTTTTACTGTAGAGGCCTTTCAAAGGGTATTGACAAGCGATCTCAGACAAACAAATATCAGAAACCCCCCTGACCCTCAGTAAAAGTTTTATTTATCCTAATCATCTTACAAAAGATCTACTGTGATGCTAGCAGGGATACTGTAGATGGAGGACTGGGAGAGGGGGGGAGGACTGGAAGAGGGGGGGGGGGGTCAATCAGGTTCTTCAAAAAGTTGTCAAAGGTCTTTAAGGTGTCTCTATGCCAATGATTGTAAATGAGTAGACCTTTACAGTCATGTAAGATCTTGTCCAATTGGTTAATAACTACATCTTTGTTAAATAAAACAAAAGAATAGGATTTAAGAACGAGAAAACAATGATCAKTTTTATTTCTACAAAAACCTTACAGACTTGTGAAGGATAGCAGTTGTAAAGTACTCTGTTTTTTAAATTTCGATATATATATTCAATGTACGATTTGAACATTGTTTGGTGTTGTTGTGTTTTCAGTGTAAACACCTTTTGGCTGTAAATATGGCAGAAGCTCTTGGTAACGTCAAAGAAAGACAAGTTTCTAATGAGAGTATTGTTGCATATCTTAGCTATGATTGCTGAAGTCTCTCTACCAATCTACAATGCATGGGTGTATATTTGAGGAAACAAGGAATTATTTGCAAAGATATTCAACGAAAAAATGAGCTAATATTTGGGGATGTGCAGTAAAAATGCCACAGTTATATTATATTAAACAAAACAACAAAGTTTTTTTTCCATTAAGTTTGCCAGCCATGCCAGGGCTTTATTATACACCTATATGTATTTTTTCTACCAAATATTAATGTGTCTTTGCTGTAAAGCAATATTCAGCTGCTTGCACTGACCATGTCACGTGTCACTTGGAAGGCTGAAATCAGTGAACCAAGCTGAATCTTTTCTGATGTTCCTGATGCAAGTCTGTACCTATGAACACGCAAAAACAGTGTTTCTAACAACATGACGACACTGATAATAAAAACTGCAAATCATATTATAATTATGGTTGAATCTTTCTCTTTCTCTGAAAGTTCCAATGTTTCTCAAAACCTAACTGGGAGTGATAGAGTACT